GCTAGAAGCGCGCGGCTGCTGCACCTTCGCGCCTTCTCCCTCTGGCTGTGGCCTTCCGAAGGGGAACTGGAAGGTTTTTATTTTTGGAAACCTCTCCCTGATTTTTCGTCCCTTTTATCCACACCATGCCCCCTCCTCGGAGGGACAGCTCAGCCCCCTCATTACCGGAGAGGGAGAGAGGAATTCCAGCAACACCCACTTTGGCACCGCGAAGCGAGCGGGCGGCGAGGGGGGTTAACCCATGAGTAGCTGGGGGTGGCTCAGGACTGACCCGAGGGCTGGTACGGGAGATGCCGCCTGCAATAACAGCTGCACCTGAGCCACCTCTCTCCTGTCCTGGGCAAGCTGGAGCTGCTGACCTGTCCCGAATTTATCTCCCGCCCCTGCCCTCAGAGGCAAACTCTGGGTTGGATGACCAAGGCTGCAGCCTCGCAGGCCTGAAGGAGACCAGGAGAGGTACCAAGAATGGCGTGACAGAATCAGGACCGTAGGGACCGATGTCCGGCCCCTTCGCTTCTCGCCCCGGCCACTGGGGGCGTCCGCCGGGGTGCAGGCTAGAGCTGGGACCACGCGAGAGAGCGCTGGAAGGTCGCCTGGGGAGGCGCGCGCCCTCTAGTGGAGTTGGCCGCGTCCTTGGCCATCCTGCAGCTTATAGAGCGACCTGCCGCTGCCAGCCACCTTCGCTCCCTGTTCCTGTCCCCTTTCTGTTGAGTCAAGGTCAAGCCCGATGGCAGATCCTAGAAGAAGTGTTCCCTTTTTCACAGAGGGTAGACCTGGAAGATCTGGAATAAGGTCATTCAAGAAGACAGCGTGTGTCCAAGAGGGGAATGAAACCCTGGCTTCCTGCCTGGGCTCAGAAGTCCATCCCTCCCTCAGGAATTTCACCCAAGGGGGATTTAATCTGCCTCTGATTGATCTGGTGCTCACATCTTCTTGCGTTGGCAGTGAGGGGACAGGGATGCAAGAATGCCAATTGCCACCCATCTGAGTACCTCCAACAATCAGCTCACCACTCACACCCCTGGCCCACTGTCTTAAAGCCTAAAGGCCTGGCAGCCATAGCTGCCCCTGGTGCGTTTCTGTAGCCTACTATTGTCTAGAGAGACAGAGCAGTCAGGAGGGCACCAGTTTGCAACTTCCCACACTACACAAGGGACAGGCACAGTTACTACCTAATGTTGGAATACGCCCTCAACTCCTGACCTTGGCCTACAAAGCCCTGCATGACTGGCCCCCTATCTGATCTCTCTCACCTCTTGCATTGCAGCTGCATTGGCCTCCTCTCTGCTCCTTGAACAAGACAAGTTAATGCCCACTTCCCTGTTTCTGGAACACTCCTCTCCACGATGTTTACAGGAACTCCTCATCACTTCTCTCAGCTCAAACATCACCTCCTAGAGTGGCCATCCCTGGACCACCTTCCTCCCCCCCCCTTGCCCAACCTAGAGCAGCCCTCCCATTCCCAAATCATCACTTTCTAACACATCACCATTTCACTTTCATGGCTCTAGGGACTAGTTGAAATGATCTCATTTATTCCTTTACTTGGATAACTGGCTTATAGGATGGGCTGAACCTGAAGACATCGGGTCTTAAGGATAATCAGGAAACAGCTATAGTATTTTTCTCCCCTCATTGCCTTCAGCCATGTTATGGTGAATTTCCTTTCCCCACCCTTAATCTCAGAGTTTTTGGCTTGACCTTCCCTATCAGCCACAAGAATAGTTTCATTTCTATAATTAAGACCAATTTTTCAGGCACTAAAAACTCTGGTCCTGTCCAAATAAAAAAAAATCCTTATCCAATTTAATCAATCGAGAATCCAATTCAATACTCCTCCCTGCCCCCCATGGGACTGTCCCCTGGCTCGAGATCCGACAGTGGAGAGAGTGGAGTGTGGTCTGTTTTTCTGACCATCCTTTTTGGTGGTGGCTCCTCCGTGTCAGGGTCAGGGGAGAGGTATTAGAGGAAACGTGGCAAAGTCTTCTGTGACAGGTGCCCTTGGCTGGCAGGTGCCACATGCTGGCTCTTTCATAGGCACATTTGTGGATTCTTGGGAGGCTCCCTGCAAGACCTCCACCCTGCACAGCTGTAACAAAACACTCTCCAGCCAACCTCTTGCAGGTCCCTGCATCCTCTGCCCCTCTCGGACTTTCTGTTCCATGCCGATAAAGCAATGGTGCGTGGGCTGCTCCTCCCTCTGCCATAGAAGCCACTCCAGCCAGGCTCCACAGTCAGAACTCTCCAGACAGACAGTATCCACAAGTCTCTTCATTTGTGTTCATCCCCAAACTCTAAAGACATAGGTTGGGTTCTCCCAACAACCTTCTTGCTATGCTTTGGTACCTCAGGGTGCTTGCAGCTCCCAGCAACTCAGCCAGCATCAGTGGAGGGAGAGTTGTGGGGAGTCGTGCTGGTTTCCTCTTCTTGAAGGCCCCCAAATTCTGCAGCTGGTTCTCTTGGAGCCCCCTTTACTTGGTTGGCATTGGGGAGTACCCTCAGGGGAAATCTCAGCCCTGCCTACTAATGCAACGGTTCTCTATCTCAACGCTTTTAAAAAAATAGATTTTTATTGATTTCAGAGAGGACGTGAGAGGGAGAGATAGAAACATCCATGATGAGAGAGAATCATTGATTAGCTTCCTCTTGATCACCCCACACGGGGGGATCAAGCCCTCAACTCCAGCATGTGTAGGAATTGAACCATGACCTCCTGGTTCATACGTCGACACTCAACCACTGAGCCAAGCCAGCCAGGCTCTATGTCAACACTTTTTTCAATCCCTTTCATTCATAGACTGAGGGGTATGGCTTGATAGTTGTTGAACTTGTTCTGCTGTTACTAGAATGTGTAGGACTGTGAGGATATTTAGTCCTTATTGTTCTACCCTTGTGGCTTCAGCAAAAATTCAAAACCACAGGAAAAATCCTGTTCAACAACTGAAAAAAGTCATTATTGCCTGACTTCCCAAGCCACAATGGTAGCTCTAAAGAAATTGGTATCTTGCCTCCTCAACTCAGCACTGTTTCCCTAGAACCTAGAACAGTGCTTGACTCTAATAAACAGCCAAGAAATATGGGTTCAATGGATGGCTAACTGAATGAATGACAGAATAATCCCATGAAGTAAGGAGGGCTGGTATCATTAGACCCATTTGAAGAGAGAAAAACTGAGTTGCTGGTAGTATTACTGGTCCAAGTTCATGTGCTTACTGCCTTGAGGGATGGCCCTAGGATTTCCTTAAATTCTGTGTCTTGTGTTTTGGGATGAATGCCATCTTGATTCCCAGAATGCTCAGTTCTCTCCCGGAGACATTGCTCCTTCCCTGTTATCCACCCAACTCTTTAGTTCCCGACTCCTTCCCTCCCCCCACTACCTGCCAGTTCCTTCAGGAGCTCTCCTCTTCATCCCTCCGTGCTCACCTCAGATCCCCATGAGCCTCCCAAGGCCAGAAACCTTGGCGTCATCTTCGTCCCTGAGTTATTTTTTCCTCCCGTGTGTCCAAGTCATTATTACTGCTCCGTCTCCTCCGTCTGCACTTCTGGAAGTCTGCCGCCCATTCAGCCTCTCACCGCTTGGCCCCAGCCAAAACCCTCAGGCAGACACACTTCCCACTCCGCTAGGCGCCCCTCCTACTCCTTGGTGAGTACAAATGGTCCTTGGAAAATCCCACCCTGTTCTCCTAGGAGCCCACAACCTGGCTAATCTCCCCTGAAGACTGGCATCTCCTGTTCCTCCCATCCCAGTGCCACCCTCCTGTCCTGTCTCCCACTTACTGCCCATCACTCCCTTTCCCTGCAACTATTGGGATCTGTTGATGCAACTCTTCAAAATCTCCAATCCCATAAATGCTTGAGGTTTTTCTTTCTTTTTTTTAAGCTGCCAAAATTTATAGAGTCTACTAGGGTTCAAGCACTGCATTAAGCATGCTACATAAATTGACCCCTTTAACCAAATAAAGGGGGCACCATGATTTCTGCCTATACAAAGGAGGAAACTGAGGCTGGAAATAGCTACTGTTTTACACAGCTGATAAGTAGCAGATGCAGGATTCATCGGAGCCCAAGCTTTTAAGACTGCACCATCTTGCCTCCCCCTTAGGCTTGTGACTCTGTAACCCTCCTCACATTGAAGTGGTATCTTTTCCCAGCCGCCTCTGCCGCTGTTACCACCTAAGTACCTCGACTGCACATCCCTCCAATACCCTCTTCCCTGCCTGCTAGCCCACAACTCAAGTCCCTGGGGACGTGGAGTTATAAGAACTTTCTGTCCCCCTCTACCCTCCCTTTCCAGTAGAAGAAGAGGGGCTAAGTGTTACCAGCATGGCCCCTGACTCACCATGTGTCCCTTCCTTACCCCTGGTCCCAGCTTCCCCCCAGTGAGGCACCGAATGCTGCTAACCCTACTCACCCATCTCTTGGGTCCGGGGAGGGAAATCACCTCTGGAAAGCCCTGCAGAGAGAGTCCCAGGGGCTTGATAAGAGGATTCCAGTGAGGAAAGGATTGCCAGGACATGTAACCACGAGTGGGGATGCTGGACACCCAGGGCAGCCTAATTGCTTTCCCATGTCTTGCTGGAATAATGCTGGCAGCCAGAAAGCTACCAGAACCTGAACTAATTTGATAAACAAGGACCAAAAGCAAGGACCACATTTCTGCTCCCTTTGCTGAGACCCAGACTCCCAACAGAATTCCAGGGATTTTTTCCTCCTTGGAAGTGACTGGACCTCCAGCCCTGAATTCCTCTCCCCAGGAGAGCTTGTTCCCCTGCTCGGAACAAATAACACATTTCCTGGTTAATCAGTGGGCAGAAAAGGAAGGTTGATTGGGCCCCAGCTTTCCAGATGGGAGCAGCTCAGGGGCTGGGATGCCCTCGTCCAGATACTGGGCAGCTGGGACCCCCGCACTGCGCAGCCTCACCTCCAGTTTGGAAGACACAGGCTGTGTGAAGAGGCCCCAGCTCCCTCCTGCATGAGGTTTTCAAGGCCCACAGAGGCTGCCAAGACCACTCCACCTCAGACACCGTGGCCTGGCATCGCCCCCACAGCTCACAGCCACCCTGCCCTGGACCGCCTGGGCTGTCTCCTCCCATGAGCACGGATGTTTCTGTCTTCTGCAAACTGAGCTCAGTTCTCAGCTACGCTTGGCTTCTATTTTCTTATCTGACGATAGAGATAATGTTGCTCTTCTTGCCACACCACCTTCAGGGCGAAGTAGATAACCAGCCCCATCTACCCTGTGACGGGAGGGGATCAATCACTGCTACTCCATTTGCCAGTGGATATTTCTCGAGCACTTAAAATGTACCAGGCACCGTGCTTCGTGTTTTGCAGACATTTTCTCATTTAGTCCTCACAATAGTCTTGTGAAGGAGGTAGCCGGTGAGGACATGAAGGCTCAGAGAGGTAAAAATGACTGCTCACAATTGCAAAGCTAGTAAGTGGCTACACTCGGATTCCCCCACTGGTTTGTCTGGCTCCAGACACGAAGCCGATGCCAGCATCTCAAGGAGCCTTTCTGTGGAAATGCGGCTCCGGCCGCCATTCTCTGAAATAGAAGCATCCCAGCTGTTCGTGGTGTGGCCAGGGGTGCTGGGGGCCACATAGAACTGCTGTCACTGGGCCCACCAAGCACATCTCACCACCACCACCCCCCCCCGCACCTATTTACAGCTAGGGGTCTACTTTGGGTCAGGGGCAGACAAAGGTCATCATGGTGAGTTTCGGTGAATCTGACTCGCACTCACCAAGGAGAAGGAAAGAAGTCCAGTTTGTCCCACATCAAATCGTTTTCGGTTGCTGAGAAAGGCTCATCTTAACTCTCAGCCTTTCTCTTTGGACGAGAGAAGTGGCATGAACAAACATCTCTGTGGCCCTGGGTGGTGGGCGTTGTAATCCCATTTCACAAACGCAGAAGGGTGAAGGCTCTTGCTCAAGGTCGTCCAGCTAGGAGTCGAGCCAGTGTTCAACGAAAAAGGCCGACCGGCTCCAAGGTCCGTGCTGTTTTCACTGCAGCGAACTGTACTCGCTCCAGGATGTCCTGCAGTGATGTGAAGTGGGCAGCCCTTCAAGTAGCTGATTTCACTTGTTTCCCTTCATTTCCAGTCCCTGATACAAGGGTGGGCTGATCTGAAAGTTCTGTGCATTTAGCTCAAAGCTCAGACAACATTTCCTACTTACCTGCATGAATTCCTTCAGCCTCTGGCTGAAGTGGAATCTTCTAGAACTCCTGGGGCTGCAGCATAACTTCTCCCCAAGTAGAGACCTGAAGGCCTAAGCAGGAAGACAATGTGAGCGAGCAGTCCAGAGGCCCCCTTCTCTTAATTCCCCCCAGTAAGACCAGAGCTGCTCGACTGGGCTGGGGGCTGCATGGATGGGATGAGGTCACACATTGTATTATTCAGAATCTCCAGGGAGAAAGCCCTATGGGTCCAAGGGCTGGGCAGATCTAACCCGAATTCTGGAATGGCAGGAAGGAATTTCAGGACAAGGTGAGCAGGAAGCAACTTTTCTTGGCTGTCATTGGGGTCTCCCAGCCTGTCCCCACCTTGGTTTCCAGCCGGGACACAGTGACAGCCCAATGAATAGAGGTTGTGGGGACAGCAACAGGGGCTGCTATAGGGTTGTTCCTAAATTAAGCTCTTCCAGAGAGGCCTGTCAGCAACTTCCTGCTCTTCATTATCAAGGCAAAGAAAGAGGATGACACCTTCTGCCACCATCTCCTGACCTCCATTTTCCCTGGGATGAAACAGTGAGATGAGGACACTCAATGAGGTTTGCCCTGCTGCCTCCCACTACTCTCTAAGACCTCAAACCCTTAGGAATAGGCCCAGGCCCTAAAACTCCCCACAACAGGACACAGACACCAGGCTGGTGGGGGCGGGGGTAGGTGCAGCCCGGTCCCAGCCGGCCTGCCATGACTCATTCCTTGTTTCCGTCCACTCTGGTCTGAGCGCCTTGGCCCAGGGGCCTCTGGGAGGCTGTAACACAGGCTGGCCCCTCGCCCATCGGGGCTCAGCAGACAAAAATTAAAGATCTCACTTCTCAGGAACTCACACAGACAGCAGAGGCATGCTCTGTGCTCTGCCTCACCAGACCAGACCTCAGGCCGGAGGAGGATGGAGGCCAAGGGAGGAAGGAAAGGCGTCTCCGCTCCTCCCCCTA